AGCTCCCTGCTGCAGCCACCGGGGACTGCCTGAATCATCAAAGCTCTCTGAATCTTTTCTGAAGATTCGGAGAGCTTTGAATCGATTCAGACCTTTAAATTGGTCCCCTGATTCGATTTGGATTTGGCGGTTCGCCCACCGAATCTCCTCCGAGTCGAAATAGGACCCAAAACTTTGCACAGCCCTAGTAATTACAACATGTTGGAGCAGCCTTGCTGCTCATGTGTAGGCACCCTATCAGTTTATCTTGTGAATCATGCTTGCACACCTAACAGGATTAACACTGCTCGGCACCCCATGGCATCCATGCAAGGATACCAGGGTACGGGTGCCATGGCTCCTTCACTGAGAATCACTGCTCTAAAGGCACAAGTTGTTCAGTACTTACTTACAAAATACACTGGAAAAGGACAAAGATTTAATTACAGTCAGATTTAACTTTGTTCAGTGGGAAAACTGCTTTTCTTCTACAATTTTTGAAGTGACAGCTAGCTGCCAACTGACTGCAGAGCTATGCACTGAGGGGTATTTTCTGTAGAAACATACATTATCATCACTACCCCCTTTTAAATACAGTTTAAACTAGTGCTGTAGGACAGAAAACACAGTTTAAAACTACTCAGTGAGGAAGCCACAGTTATCACAAACTTGGTGGGAGGGTAGGGCTTTAACCCAACTAGTGTTTAAGTAATAAAAAGTGCAAATACACATGTAAGAAAGAAAAGATTTCTTTTTTAGCCATTTTAAACTCTCATTTTGCTGAAACAGCATCCATATTCATTCCTTTCAACAAGCTCTGCAGACAGTTCAGGATGACAGTGTCTCCAGCACTCTGATACTGTCAACCTCACGTTTCCATAATACTGCAGTAACTACCTATAGGAGAAGTCTATGCAAGTGTGTTACCCTCTCTCTTCATTTTCTTCCTCTTTTTCAGATTCTTGCTCTGTAAATGAATCAGAGACGAGCTTAAGTGCACGTTCAGAATGGGAGACTACTTTCTGGATGGCCTGCAGCTCTTCTTCTGTTGGGTAGATGCTAGAGTGCTTTGTCATGATGTGACGGTCATTTGAAGAATCTGGACATCTAGTAGACTGAGAGAAATAAAATGGCAAACTTTATTACCAGACAGACCTGGGTTAAAGTAGAAAAAGACTGAAAAAATTCTTAGCAGTGCCACCATCAAACACTGCACATAGTTACAAAACTATATTTAGAGATGCAAAAATGTATACAAAAGAAAAGGAAGATTTTGCCTTTTTGATTATTCAAGCAAGAATTGGGACTCATAGGGTATGACTAGTTTCTGGATTAAGAAAACAATAAGGAAATTTTAGCTGCTGTAGGAAGCAAGATTCAGCAAATAGCATCCTTCCCTTCAAGTTTGTATTCACTAATGTTTCATCACAGAGTTAGAGGGTTTTGGACTCTACAAGGGGAAGATTTATGAATGAGACTTAAACAAAACACCTATCCATTTGTGATCCTTAAAAAAATTAGTATTTTGTGCCCTATGGACACAAATTCAACTCAGGTTCTTACATACTGCCTCCTTCTTGCACCCCCTGTAATTTTGACAGGAGAATGTAGTTTTTGTCTTACTTTCCCAAGTACTGCATAGGAAGCTGTCAACTTCCAAAGTAATGGTAGGTGTCAGGGGTGACTGGTGCCTCCTGAGTCTGGGGGGCACAATTTGTGGGCGGCCTCAGGGGTGGGCCAAAAGCCCCATATCCACTCCTATACTTCTGTGCCACAGCTTAGTGCCCCCCCCCTTCTCCCCCAACATGCCACCGGCCCTCACGGCAAAAAAACTGCCCCGTCCTAACCAGTGCCAAGTCGGGGACCAATCTCAGGGAGGGCACGTGCCCCTCCATGCCCCCCCCACCAGTCGCCTGTGGTAAGTGTGTTTCAATATGGGAGAAAGCAATTCAAACAACTGCTACATCAGTATACTTACAAAAGTGCCTTGGGGAGTCTATTGGAACTTAGCCAATATCCACAGACTGGTGTGAGAAGAGTCAGTGAGAGCAGTAAATAAGCCTCCCAGTGTCAAGTGATCAAGATAAATAAAAGTCTATACAAGATGCTTTACTCCGCATTAGACTAATCTAATGCACAGTAAAGCATCATTGTCTACATGTGCGTGGGACTTACTACTTATTAAATTAGTCTAATACACGATTTGCTAGTATCAATGCATAAAGGTACTAGATAAATGGCATATTAGCTAATGCACCATAGTGCACAGGTAGACATTGACCAGGAGCAATTTGCTCCTGGTCAGCCCAGGCAACAGGGGGTCTAGTGCTACCTGGCTAAACCTCAGTGTGGGGGAGCTGTGCCAGCTGCAGGTGCGGCTGTCTCTCCATGCGGCTGGGAAGACAGCTACCCCTGCAGCTGGCACAGCTCTCCCTGCCTGGCAAAGATTGGGACCAGCCCCAGTGCCCCCTGCTAGGGCTGGCACCTGGGGGAGCCTGGAGCACACTAATAAGTCTGAATTTTCCATGCAGAAAATTCAGGAGCATTAATTGCACATGTAGATGCACCCACTGGGAAGTACACTGATATATAAAAAGGGCCTTAAAAAGTAAAGGAATAGCACTGTTAAACAGGAGTGGTCACTGAGATTAAAAATAGGAACATCTGCAGAAAGAAGTCCAGACATTTGCTGTTTATGAATACAGAAAGAACCTTATTTATTAAAGAGTTTGCTTCTTAGAATAAAACCAATTCAAGCTGTTGGCTACCCCTGGGAATTTCTGTCCCCTCTTCATCTTCACAGCTCTACTCTCAGCTCTTCACATTAAATGTGCTTGCTTGCTTCTCTCCACAGACCTGATGAAGACTGTCTTGCAACTTTATTCCAAGCATGCAGTTGGTCCAAGAAAAGTTATTGCCCCTGAAAAATCTTGGCCTCTCACATGAAACCCTTTAGACATTTTTCCAAGTGACTGGGAACTATCATAAGAAAATACAACTCATTACACTAGGTTTTTTATGTAATCAAGCATCATTTCAGTAATGTGCATGTAAATTGGATGTCTTCAGGCAAATAATGTGTGTATTAGTATGTAATAAGATGCGTGTATACAGCTAAAAATCACAAAGTATTTAGCAAGGGCTGCAATTTTTCTAACATGTTTGAATTTTCTTATGTGCATATGGTATTTCTTGCATTGCAATATTTCTCATTCAGTGTCCAGATAGTATTAGAAGCGCTGAACTTCCATACAGTCACAGGATCATAGAAAAGTCAGGCTGGGAGGGACATCTGGAGGGCATCTAGTCTTAACCCCCTGCCTACCCAAACCATCCCACACAAATCCTTGTCTAACCCAGGGGTTTTCAACTGGGGGGTACTTCTGATGGCCTCAGGGGGTACTCTGCCAGCACTTTGGTCACTGATTGGCTGTAGGGGACCCCTGTCCGGGTTGCCGATTGCTCTTCCCCACTCGTCAACTGGCTGCTGGGGGACCAACCCCCTCCCCCCACAGTTGCCAATCGGCTTCTTGTCTGGCCCCCGAGGGACTCCTGACTCCTTGACCAGCTGCTGGGGGCACAATGACTCAAAAAGGTTGAAAACCCCGGTCTAACCTATTACTAAAACTACAGTCAACCCTGTTGCACAGCTATAAGGTGCAGCAACCTAACTTGCCCACAGGTATAGCTGGGGAACGATGGTGGTCAGTGTCTGGTGGCTGCAAATATTGTTAAAATACACTCAAGAGATCTGAGGAAGAGGGCCACACTGTGGCGATGCGTAGCGGGTGCACGTGCAGCCCCTGCCAGGCTGCGCTCCCTGTTTAGGCAATGGGCAGGGGGGCAGGCGGGAGCGCCAGTTCCCCCCTTCTAAGCACCAGCTGGGGAGCAGGGCCTCTAGCAAAAGCTTTTTGTGAGTGAGATCGGCCATGGTCACCCTCCCCACCCTCCCCCCAGTCAGTGCAATTGGCTGCCAGGGGACCCAGCCCCTGTCGATGACTGGTGTCAGGGGGTACATGTGCCCCCCTGACTCAAGAGGCACCAGTCGCCTATGGGGCCACACACTCCACTAGAGAGGAAGGCAAAACTCCCACAGTCCATCCCAATCTGACCATGGGGTAAAATTCATTCCTGGTTCCAAATATGGCAATTGGTCTGACCCTGAGCAGAGGGGCAAGACGCTTTAGCCAGGAACTTCTGGGTTTAAGGCCCAGCAGGAACACTGGCACACCAGTCAAAATCTCCAGCCTTAGATGCAGCCAACACCCAATGCTTCTGAGGAAGGGAGAAAAAAAATCCCTGATCCCTGCAGCAACAAGAGAAAAAAAATCTTTCCTGGCCCCATATGGGCGAAGGAATACCGAACACCCTCCACTCTGCTCTGGAGCCTGGGGACAGCAAACGTACAGCCACGTATCACACCCACTGCTGGACAGTCAGAACTCCCTATTTTGTACCCCCTCCATAAACCTAACCCAGCTCCTTTAATCTTCTTTCATAACTAAGCCAGTTGTGGAGCTCTGTCTCATTCTCCTGCTGCTGAGTACAGTCCTTTCTAGTATCTGCCTGCTTTAGGCTGCAGAGCGTTTCTCATTATCTCTCAGCAATCTCTCTGTGCGGGGAGGAGGGAAGGGAGGTGCTCCTGGGTTTCCAACTGTTGTTTTTTATATAGCACTCCAGGCATAGCCACTCTTAGATCATCCCCAACCAGTGCTTATTCAACCTTTTTCTTGAAACCTCCAATTATGGAGAGTCTACAACTTGCCTAGGCAATCTATTCCACTGCCTCAGTTTTATCACAGTGAAGAAAATTTCCCTGATATCAAATCTAAACCTACTTTTTTGCAACTCCAAGCCACTGGTCCACATCCTGTTTCCTGTAGCAAATGAAGAAAGATGTTTTCCTTCTTTGTAGCAGCCCTTCAGATTTTAGAATATTACTATCATGCCCCATCTTAAACAAGCTGAACGTGCCTATTTCTTTCAATCTCTCCTCATATACCTTGCCTTCCAAGCCCTTTATCATTTTTGTTGCCCACCTCTGGACCTCTCAAACTTTTCCATTTCCTTTGTAAAGTGTGGAGCCTAAAACTGCATACAATAATCAAAATAAAGCCTAAATGGTGCTGAAAAAAGAAGCACGATCACTTCTCATGTCTTGCATCTAATGACCCTGTCCTCCTGCGTGTTTGCAGACCTTCCCAGCTTCATCTGGTCTGCAAATCTGCTCAGGAAACCTGCATCTAAATTGTTAATAAACAAGTTAAAGAGCACCACGTCCAGGACAGACTCCTGTAAGACTGGGCGCATCTGCACAAGATGCTTAATGCGCAGAAGACTAATTCTACTGTGCATTAGCGTAGCTAGCAAAAACCGTGCTAATGTGCAGTAGACTTAGTCTGAACATTAACGTCACTTAAAAAGCGTTCACTTGCACTAATGTGCCGATTATGGCGCATTAAGTTTGTCCCTGTTATTACAGTACTAAACGTAATGCACTGTAATTACGCTGCATTAATGAACATGTAGACACACACCCTGATATCAGCGTGAAGGCTTTGAATTCTTTGACAATGAGCAGATGTTCTGGGGAGGAGGATTGCTATCAAGAGACAGAATCCATTAAACCAGAACTGGAAAGAGCATCTTTGGGCACCACCAGTCCTAAGGAAGGCTTTAAACTAGGTTCTGTGAGAGATGATAGACAAAATCCTTCAGCCACAGAGCAAACAATCCAGAGGGGAGAGCACCAGAAGAAGCTCAACTCAGAGAAAGGGACAGTGAGCCATAGAACAGCAACAAGGGAGTCAAGAGGAAAACAAGTAGGTCAAAAATGCGAAATACTTCTGATATACATATCAAGATGTGACGAGCTTAGGGAACAAACAAGCTGCAAGTCATAGCCTGTGAAAAGACCTATTATCTGACTGTTATCACAGACACTTGGTGGGTCAGCTCTTACGATGGGAACATCAACACTGAGGGGTACACTCTGTTTTGGAAGGAGAGGGCTGGGAGAAAAGGTGTTGATATATAACAAAACGCCACCAATACACACACTTATTCACTGGTTCAGGACAAAGAAAGTAGCTGATCAAGTGAATCTGGGTGAAGATAAAAGGTGAAAGATACAGTAGGGATACAATGATGGGGACTTATCCTAGACTGCCAAGTCAGAAAGAAGAGGTGGATGAGGAACTCTTCAGAGGTGATAAAATTATCCAAAAGTCATGAGATGGTACTGATGGAAGACTTCAGTTTTCTGGACATCTGCTGCAAGAAACATGCAGCCAAACAAAATGTCAAGTAAGTTCCTAACTTGTGTGGAGGACAACTTTCTGTTCCAAGAAGTTGAGGATATAAGTCAAGGAGTACCTGTCTTAGATATTGTCCTGACTAACAGGGAAGAAATAGTAGAGGATGCGAAGGTGATGGGAAACTTGAGAGAACATAATCACAATGGGCATGTCTACACGTGCATTTAAGTGCAACTAAATTTACTGTGCAAGTCCCTGCAGCCCTGCCATGTGCCCCTGTGGCCACTGGGGGGAGCTTCAGTCTCTGGCCACATGGCTGCCAGCACTTGGCAGCCATGTTGAAGCCAGACCCAGCTGCCAGCACTTGGCAGCCATCTTGGAAACTCTCAGCCCTGGCCAGCCCCTTCCCTGCCCAGGAGCCATATGTCCAGTGCAGGGAGAGCACATGGTAGCTCCCTCCTTGCCCACCCTGCCTACCTGCACCAAGGCTGCTCCAGCCCCTGCCCCTGCTAGTGACACCCAGTGACCCGCTGCTCCAGCCGTGCCCCTGCCAGTGATGTCCAGCACCCCACACTCCCATCTTTCAGCAGTTGCTGGCCCCTGCCCATGGGCCTGCAGGACCCCCCAGGACAGCCACGCACCCACCAGCAGGGTGGATATGCACATGGGTGAAACAAAAAACTTTATGACCCTCACAACACCCATCACCATCCCTCCCCCCTCAACCAACAGAACCCCCTCCTCCCCCGACCAACAGGGGCCCTCCACCACCCACCAACAATAAAAAACCTGCTTACAAATGGAAAACTAGATACAAATGGAAAACATTTATATATGGAAAATTATTTACAATATTTTAGGTCTTCGAGCCCAGAGTGGACGGCTGTTGGGGGGGTCTAGAGGGCAGAGCCCCAAGGCAGGTACGCAAGCCCCCAGCCTTGGGATATCCCCCTACAGGTCTGGGGGTTGCAGTGACCCCAGCAGATGGTGGCCTCATGCACAGCTGGGCCTTCGGGCATGTGGTGCGGGGGAGAGTGCCGGAGCCACGCAGGTGGCGGCAGGCCTGGGGCGGGGGCCGGGCCAGAGGGCCTGGTAGGCAGGAGGCAACTGAGGACCTCCTCCCAGGGTCAGGTGGGGGCCTACTGTGGGGCAGTGGGCAGGACCCAGAGGTCCTGCAGGGCCACGGGCAGGGACCAGGCAGTGAGGAACATGGATGTGGCCCCCTGGACCAGGAGGGTGTCCCTGCTGCTGGAGCAGCTCTAGGTGTTCCTGCTCCAGGGTCTCCATTTGGGCCCAGTGGTCCTGCTGCTTTTGGTCCCGTGCCTCTGCCCAGGCAACATCCTCCACCCGCCAGGCTTGTTCCTGTGCCTCCCGCTCCGCCACCACCACCAGCTGCTAGAGCAAGAGGTCCAGTCCCTGGTGTGCTACTGGCAGCCAGTGCATTCAGACAGCTCTAGTGGTGGGTGGCAGTGACCCGGAGCCTGTATCCCTTCTGGGGCTGGTGGCCTCTCCCCTGCATCCAGACGTTAGCCCTGGACAGTGCTCAGGAGCGCTCAGCAGATGGGCATGGCCAGGGACTGGGAGCTGTGCAGCAGAGGCACTTCACAGCACCTGCAAAGAGATGCTGCTGGGGGTAAGCAGCAGCAGGTGCTGGCCTGGCTGCAAGAGACAGACAGGCAGCAGCCCTGGGGGGGGGATCTAAGGACTGGGCAAGGGGTGCAGCAAGCTGCAGCTCTTTGCAACACTCACCTGTGGCCAAGCAGCAGCTCTACAGAAGGAACAGGCCAGGCAGAGGCAGGCTGTGGCCTGTCCAGGGGGTACACAAGGCCTGCTGGGCTCCTGGACAAAGAACAGGCTCCCTCAGGCTCCCTGGTGTGTATGCCCCAAGTGCTGGGTCATGTCTACATGTGCATTACCGCACATTAACTAATCAAACGTACATTTGAGACCTGCACTTAGCATAAGTTACTGTGTAGTAAGGGTGCATGCCTGTACTGTGCAGTAACTTAGGCTAAGGTGCATTAACGTGTCTTGTACAGATGAACCCAATATGACAGAATTCTTAATCCAGAGATGGGGAAACCATAAGGTCAGGTGAACTAAGACTGAATTTCACAAACGTGGATTTCAACTGACTCAAGGAGACAGTAGGCATGGTGGACAGACTGAAGGATAATGGGTCCCAGGAGGGCGGGAAGTTTCTCAAGTACAGTGTTGGAAGCCCAACAAGAAACTGTTCCGACACGATGGAAGTGCAAGAATAATGATAAAAGACCAGCTTGGCTGCACAAGGAGCTTCTAGGAAGCCTCAAAAACAAAAGGAAACCATACAGGCAATGAAAAAATGAGCAGATCACCAAAGAAGTATACCAGGAAAGAGCAAGAGCTTGCAGGGACAAAATCAGGCAAGCAGAGGTAAAATTTTGCTTTACCTGGCAAAGGAAATTAAAGTCAAAAGGAAGAGGTTCTATAAATATGCTGATCAGAAATGAAAGACCAAAGAAGCTATAGATCCACTGTTAAATAGCCAGGGTGAGCTCTTAATAGAAGATGTAAGGAAGGAGGAGCTGTTCAACAGCTTCTTTGCCTCAGTTTTGACAAATATTTAAGCTGCAGCAATACAGCTAATATGGATTACTTGGATAAGGAAGGGGACAAGCGGAGGGTTGAGATAACAAAAGGGACAGCCAGAGATCTGTTGACTGATCTGAATAAATTCAGATCAGCAGGACCTGAAGAACTTCATCCCAGGGTACAGAAGAAACTGGCAGAAGAGATCTTGGAGCCCTTGGCAATGATATTTGCCAAGTCACTGGGGACAGGTGAGGTATCAGAGGACTAGAAAAGGGGCAACATAGTGCCCATCTTTAAAAAAAAGACAAAAAGGAAGACTCAGGTAACTATAGACTGGGTAGCCTTACTTCGGTATCTGGGAAGAAGCATATCTTAAGAAGGGCTTTTGCAAGCATCTGAAGGAGGAAAGGCTGATCATGAGCAGGCAACATGGATTTATTAAGAGCAAATTGTATCAAACTTGATCTCAATTGACAAAAAGCTAGATGGGCAAATATAGGGAATGCAGTGGATATAGTATATCAGAACTTCAGTAACGCTTCTGTCAAAGATGCACATGGCCTTCTTATAAACTAATTGGACAAATATGGGCTAGATAAAATTACTATAGGGTGGCTAGACAATTGGCTCAGTAGCTGGAAGCAAGGGGTAATTATAAATAGGTCCAAGTCCAAATGGCATGACTCTCAGCCATATGTTTACTTCCATGATACAATAGTCCCTGCCTGGGACCTTACCGTCCACCAAGAAGATTGATGAAAATACTACTTGTGTTCTGATTTCCTTAATTTTCTTTCCAAGAGCCCCATAGTCTCCTCTGATCTGCTCAGTGTCCATCAGCCCTAGTGGTATCACTGGGGGTCTACAGGGATAAGAAGGAAAGGGTACTGGTCTGAGGGATGGATAAGCTCTGGGAATCTTTCTGTGATGTCCTAAATAGGGCTCCAGGCAGGTGGCACACCTCCTGGAGTGACCTCTGGCACAATAAAAGAAAGGGTGAGAGCCAAGGGCTAGGCCTTGCAAATGGGCAGGAAGAATTTCATGAATACTGAAGAGAAGGTTTAAAAAATGTTGAGGAGACTTACTGTAGAATTCTGTTTCATTTTATGTGCCACCAAGGCAGGCTGTCCAGACATGTAAGTGTCCTTTTTGATTCGTAGGCACAGTTTGTGACTCTTTTACATGTGCAATGTGCATGCATAAATGTCTACAAAGCTACTGAGCAGGCATGGTGTGCTATGTACTAGCTGGGCCTGGGTGCATGGGTCTGGGTACTTGGGCAGACAGACTGGACATATATAAATCACAAACGTCTATCCAGGAAAAACCCATGAAGGAGGACTCCTCCTGCCATATGGTCTAATCAGAACTGTTATTCCCAGTAGAGCACTGCACTGCTCTCTGGCCATTTTACCCAATGAATAATTAATGCTAAGTGCTGGGTCTCAGCTCCAATGAAGGCTGTAGGGAACACTGAAGAATACCTAACCTGTGGTCTGGTGGTTAGGCACAGCAGTGGCAAGTCAGAGAGCTATAAGTTTCCATCCCCTCTGGGTGAGGAAGGCCAAAACTTGGGTCCCCTGTTTCCTGTGTGAACACCCTAACCACTAGGCTATTAGGGTTAGAACAGATGGGCTCTCCTCCTTGTTTTTCAGAATTTACACTCATGTACATGTAAATGTAGTCATATACCCACCACCCAATGTGCATGCTCAGTAGCTGTGCGGACACTTTTGTGTCAACACTATGCAGGTAATACAATAGTAAACTGTGCATAAGTATCAGTTGCTCCACAGTAGGATGGACACAGTATCAGTTGCTCACATGCATGGTCTTACTTCCCAGGTAGACTAATACTTGTCCAATGAAAAAGGGATAACACTCAGGATAAGACTGGGTACACAGGCAATATTGCGGAGCAGGTGACGTAGTAAAACCCTGCCTCTTTTTATGTCATGATAGCCAGTTTGTATGCCCTTTCCCTTCATAATCTGAAGTGTTAACCTTTTTACACTCCCAAGTAGTCCAACATATAAAAATGATCGTTTGTCAGTGAGGTATTTTGTGCCACAAACTAGAATTGACATTAAGCTTTATGTATTGCTCATTCCAAATTTTAGTCATGGATTCTCAGGAGAAATACAAAATTACACATTCAACACTCAAAGAACAGAGAGAGTATGGCACATTATAGCTTGAAACAGATTTTAAAGGTGTCAGAGTGCTTCATATTTCTCCTTTCAGGAAATGTAATCAAGGGTTGCTCACCAAGAAAAGTGGAACAGCCATGCCAGGCCTGCCCATAAGTGGGGGTGGATGCCAGTCTACAGCCATCCGACGCCGTTGCTCTTCCCAGTATAATTGCTCTTCCTCTACTTGCCACCAGTACATTTCCTCTTCATACCGCCTTCATGAAAAGAAGCAAGAACACAGTAAGTTTGTATGAAACAAAGTTGTGTCACCAGTCTCAGCCATTTTCAAGGTGCCTGGGCAAAGTTGCAAAAGTGTGGCTAAAGCAGATGACCCCAAAGCCTGTTTCTTCACTTGCAGCTAGGGTAGCTGGGGGGTGCCCATGAGGTGAGGGGATCCATTCCTCACCCCCCGCCCCCTCGAGCTCTGGCCATTGCAGCTCTTTTCCCTTCCCTCTCTCTCCCCCACTGATAGCCTGTAGCACCAACCCTGTCCTGCATCCCAGGTGAAAATTTAACTCTGGAGGGAACACAAGTTCTCTAAGGTACTCCACTTTAGAGTGCCTTAATGTAATACCTGATCTGACCAGGGTTAATTTTTCATGTGATCAACCATTTTAAAAGCACTCTGCAGCTGTGCATGTGTGTTATGACACAGCTGTAGAGCACTTTCAGGGGCCAGATCACTCAATAAACATCACTTCTGTCTGTGCCCTTATAGTGACCACCAAATTTATCCTGGCAGAGGTTAAAATTGGCATGTTTGGCAAAGTGTGTAAAGTACCTAATATGTCCAGATGAACAAGTAGCAGTAGGCAACTGCCAATTCTTCTAGATCATGGCATATGCATGAGAGGTTACCCAGACCATCAATACATATGCATAGGCAGAGGTCTGGGGGAGTGGAAGCTGCCCAGACCTTCCATCCCCCTTCATGCTATTGAGACAGAATCCAAAGGCCAGTCTGAGTGCAGACATTCAGTACCTTGATGACTGTAATTACGTACATGTCTAGGAACTGAACCTGGGTCTCCCATGTAGCAGATAAGGAGTCTACCATTGAACCAGAGGGGACTCCATAGACAAACAAGTAATGGAAAAAGAACATAAGAAATGCAACACTGGGTCCAGCCATGACTTCATCTAGCCCAGTATCCTGTATTTCACAGTGGCAGAGTGTGGATACTGAGGGGAAACGTATATGCAGGGCCTACCCGGACTTGATGATCTGCTCAGGTCCCTTCTGACCCTACCTACTTTGAAACTATGAAACTACCCAAACAGATCCTGCCTCTCTTTCCTCATAGCTTCCAGCATTCTGAGACTTAGGAGGCCTAATTTCTAGATTTAACTCCTTACTATAATGTTTAATACCCACAAATTGACCTATTTAGCACACACTTGTCCAGTCCTCTTTTAAACCTAGTTAAATTATTAGCTTCTACAACATCATTGAGTTCCACAAATCAATTACACAATGTGTGAGAAGGAGCTTCCTTTCATCTGTTTTAAACTTGCTTCCTAATAAATTTATTGTACATCACCTAATGTTAGTATTGTGACAGACAGTAGATGGTAAATCCTTAATTATGTTTTCTGCAGCATTCACGATTTTATAGACTTCTACTATATCCCTCCCCTCAGTCATCTTTTGTACAAGATAAAAAGTCCTAGCTTATTTAGGATTTCCTCATACGGAAAACTCTCCATAACCCTGATCATCCTCATTGCCCTTCTCTGTATGTTTTGTAGTTCTACTACATGCTTTTGGAGCTGAGAGGACCAGAACTGCAAGGTGTATTCAAGGTCTGTGGAATAATGACATTTTCTGTTTTATTTTCAATTTTCTTAATAATTACTAACATTTTATCTGCATTTTTGGCTGCTGCTGAACACTGAGATGATGTTTTCAGAGAACTATGCACAATAATCCCACTCCTCTTTCTTATATAGTAACAATTAATGTAGAGCCCATCATTCTGGCTGAAAGAACTGGCTGAGCTTATAGCAGGGCTACTGGCGAAGCTGTTTGAAGAGTCGTGGAACTCAGGAGTAGTCCCAGATGACTGGAAGAGGTCCAACATGGTACCTATCTTCAAGAAAGGGAAGAGGGATGAACCTGCAAATTACAGACTGGTCAGTCTGATTTTGGTCCTGGGAAAAATGTTTGAAAAATTTGTTAAGGAGGCTATCAATTACAAGCTGGTAACTGGTGAGGTATTAAGATGCAACCAGCATGGTTTTCTTGAGGGTAGATCATGCCTGACAAACCTGGTGTCTTTCTATGACCAGGTAACTTACCAGCTGGACGAGGGACGTGAGGCTGGTGCCATTTACTTAGACTTCAGTAAAGCCTTTGATTCCATTTCCCATGAGATTCTCTCAACTAAATTGGAGGGTCCTGGGCTGAACCAGTCTGCAGTGAGGTGGGTGGACAACTGGCTTAGAGGCTGATCCCAGAGAGTTGTAATCGATGGGATGGCCTCATCCTGGAGTCCCGTCTCCAGTGATGCCCCCCAGGGATCTGTGCTTGGACCTGTGCTCTTTAACATATTTATTAATGACTTGGATGAGGGGGTGGAAAGCTCAGTGATTAAGTTTGTGGATGATACTAAGCTGTGGGGAAATGTGGGCACATCAGAGGATGGGGTAAGGATCCAGGATGACATGGACAGACTGGTTTTATGGGCGGAACAGAGTCAGATGAGGTTTAAGAGGGAGAAGTGCAGGGCCCTCCATCCGGGTAGGAAGGACCTTCACTATAACTACATGATGGGTGGTGGTCCAGTGGCTAGCACAGTATCTGAATGGGACCTGGGGGTCACAATTGACCAGAAGATGAACATGAGTCAACAGTGCAATGAGGTTGCCAACAGGGCAAATAGGACTCTGGCATGTATCAGCTGATGTGTTGCCAATAGATCCCTCTATTAGGCATTGGTGAGGCCACAGCTGGAGTACTGTGTCCAGTTCTGGGCACTGCACTTCAGGAAGGATGTGGATAAGCTTGAGAGGGTACAAAGAAGGGCCACCCATATGATTAGGGGCCTGGAGGATAGGCCCTATGAGGAGAGACTCCAGGAACTGGGCCTGTTCAGTCTGAGTAAGAGAAGACTGAGAGGTGACTTGATAGCTACCTACAAGTACGTTAGGAGTGAGCATCAAGATCTAAGGGAGCGACTCTTCAGGAAGAAACCCAAAGTGGGGACAAGGACCAATGGGCACAAGCTAATAGAGGAAAAATTTAGGCTAGACATAAGAAATTTTTTTTTTTCCATAGGAGTTACCAGAATCCAGAACACACTCCCAGCAGAGGTGGTGCAGTCACCATCCTTGGAGATGTTCAAGATGAGACTGGACAAACACCTTGTTGAGCTCATTTGAGCCCAATAACTTCCTGCATGGCAGGGGACTGGACTTGATCATCTTGCAGGTCCCTTCCGGTCCTCTGACTCTATGATTCTCTATGATTCTATATATCCACGTGCATCATTTTACACTTACTATAACTAAACTTCATCTGCCATTTTGCTGTCTATTCACTCAATTTTATAAGGTCCTTCTACAATTCTTCACAGCCAGACTTTTTTTTTAAATCACATTGAATAATTTGGGGTCATCCACAAACTTGGCCACATCACTATCTACCTTCCTTCCCAAATCATTTATGGATATGTTAAACAGTACAAGCCCCAGCACACACGTTTGGGGGGCCCAATGCTTGCCTCCCTCCCTCCAATGTGAAAAGTGAACATTTACACTTTCTCTTTTTTTTCCTATTCTTTAGCTAATTGCTGATCCATGAATGAACCTTGCCTTTAAAGCCGTGAAAGCCCAATTTCATTAAGAACCTTTGATGCAGAACTTTAGCAAAAGCTTTTTGAAAGCCCAAATACAACATTTTAATCACCTCACACCAATCCACATGCTTGTGGTTGTCCTCCAAGAACTCTACTAGATTGATGAGGCATGACCACCCTTCACAAAAGCCAAGGTAGTTCTACCCCGGGAAGTTCTGTTTACCTATGTGAGGGGCAATCCAAGATTTATTCTAGTTTCTATTAATCTGCTAAGAAGAAAAGTCAGGTTTCCTGATTTGTAGTTCCTTGTATTCCTCCAGAGTCCTCTTTAAAGAATGGTGACAGACTGGTAGGTCTTTTTGGTACATATAGGGACTGTGAGCCTGGACCCACACAAAAACTGTTAGCCCCCTCTGTTATTAGAGGGGGGTTACTAAGTATGTATCAACAGAATTCCTTGGACAACTAATGGAAAAACAGGGACAGGAGAGGGGCCCAAAGGTTAATAACAAGTGATCCAAGGGGGGGGACACACTGAGCAGAGCACATTAGCAGGTGCCCACTGGCCCTTGAATGAGTCCAAGGAGCCAGTGAACCCTGCTCCATGAAACTCTGCCCAGAGACATGAACAAATGAGGGACAGGAAGATGGCTCTGGAGTCACAAAGGTTCCCCCAGCCAGAGCCTCCTTCCTGTTGGGTAGAGTTACAGACTGGCAGGAAACTCTATACAAGAAACTCTTGTGATAGATAGCCTTGTGATAGTGTAGTTTTAGATTAAGATTGTTAGTAGTAGGGATGTGCCACTAAGCATGCTCAAGCACCAGAACTGTTTTCCCTGTGCTACTCCAAACCCTGCTTGAAATACCCACATTAACAGCCCAAAATCTACGTTTTCACTCACACAACTGGTCTTTTTTGAAAACACAATGAAGAACAGCCAGAACAAATGTAAAATCACTTTAAAGTCTTTCCGTCCGCGTTCCAGCTCCACAAAGCCTGCTGAGGAGCACAGCCCTGCAGACAGATTGCAGGTGAGCCTGGGAGAAGGAGGGGCTGGCTGGGGGACTGTCCTTTCAGAATGAGATGAGAATATAGAGGGGTTTTGGTTGTAGCCAGGGCACTATGAGAATTTAAAAATGCTCAAGCTGAGCAAAATAAGACTCAGGGGGTATGTCTACATGAGATGTTTACTGCAGAACTGCCTAATTAGCTCTGCACTAAATATCTCAGTGTCTACACGTGTGGTCCTATTAGGCCACAATAAACTAATAAACTCTACCGCAGGTTAGTACTTGTAAATACAAATACTATCCTGCGGTGGAGTTTTTTAGTGAGCAGCAACGCCTGTGTAGGTGCTGATATGGCTGACTGGGGCCTAAGGGTGCTTTAGTGCAGGAGCTGCCTGCTGGCTAGCCCT